TTGGTAGACTAATTTCTGAGTTGTTAATTTTCAAAACAGAAAGTGCTTCCGAAATGTCATTCAAATGTTATAGTTTGATTTGATTTGTTATACCATACTCTGAAATCTGCTTATATATAGGATAAAGTAGAAATATGTACATAAACAAATGGCACTTTAAAATGAAATCTTTTCATGGCATGTTTTTATTTTGCAATGCAATCCTACACATGTCCATGACAAAGCAAATCCCATTACGGTTAATATGACTCATGCCTAAATAAGTGGTACAGGATTGCAGAATTGTATATAAAATGCTCAAATTATGCAATAGAAATATAGCCTTCTTCTTACAAGTCCTGGGTTACTTTAGAATGGTACATGTTCGCATTAAATTTAAAAAGCACGTTTCCTCATCTGGCTCTGAACAGGTCGGCAGAAACAGAACATTCCTTTCTTTGGGGGCAGAAAAAAACCTTTGAGCAAAGTCTGACTCACAGGTTTTGCAGAGCTTGTGACTAAAATAGCTCACTAATCTTGTGCTTTCCCCAGGAAAGAAGACCTGCCTGTTTCTTTACTATCTGAACTTGCTTCCTTTCCTTGGTTGACTACAGTACCAAGTCATTTGTGTGACGTTGGGCAACCGATGATTAATATTTTTGAAGAGGTGAGGTCCCAAGATTTCTGCCTTATGAATGTACCTTGCTGACTTCAAGCAACCTTTCGGGCACACCCTCCTTATCTGGAACTCCAACCACGCGAAGAATGCAAGGGGGAGAAATAAACTTCCTTCATAGAAACCTAATAAACCTGGAGTGATAAAACCTTCCACATGATGAGTATAAGCACTCAGAGTTCAACTGAACGGCTTTTGCGTCTCAGAAGCAGGTCAATTTGACTGACATGAAAATCCTCACCATGTGATCTGTATAGAGTTTGGGAAAGTTACTTTTTCGAACACTCCTGAAAAATGTAATAGACCTTTTGAACATATACACAGCTTACACATATGCATAATAATAGGCAACACATTCATATCCTAAGTATTCCTTCCACCCTATACTGAAAAATTATCAAAGAAATAACTGATTTGTATGTACAAATGGATTCTCAGTATACAAAACTATGTTCATTTTCAGCTTCAACATAGGTACGCCCAGTTGATTTTGATCCTTCCACTGGTAAGTGTTGCGAGTTAATATGGTTTATTCCCAAACAGAATTATAGTCAAGAGTGCATCTATATTGCAGAATTAATGCATTTTGACACAACTTTAATTGATTTGGCTCAAGGCTATGGAATCCTGAGACTTGTAGTTCGGTGAGGTGCCAGAATTCTTTGGCACAGAAGATTAAACTCCTTGTAAAACTACAACTCTCCATATCATTGAGCAAAGGCTGTTATAGTGGTGTCAAACTGCATTATTCCCAGTGTAGATCCACCCTGATACACACTTGTGCCATCCAATTAAATGTTTTTGCCTTAGTGTTCACATAGGTTCCCCATTAGTCCACCTGTCTTTCACTTGAAAGAAGAATATTTAAGGTGTTAAACCATGAGAAAGGTTTCAAACTATTTAGTCCAGCAGAAATTTTGGAGCACACACTTCCAGACCCAAATACATCTTCATTCACTGAATGACATGGGCCCACATAAATTTGTTTCCCATTACAGGAGACTTAGAAACACCTGCATAAGAATTCAAAAGACTCTTTCTAAAACTATTTCACAATTCAACCTTTTATAACAGACACAAAAAAAACTGTCATAACAGCATTTTAAAGATTAACACTGTTTTCTTGAATTTCAGTAATAACTGGCTGATAAGCGTACTGAAATCAATAGGGTTTGCATCTGATAATCCACAAATGCTTGCATTAGGAATTTACTATTCCTCTGTCACTTTCAAATGTGCCATTTATGTCTTTACAAGCTGAAACAGACTAAAATACTTTTGGCTGTGAATAATGCCACAATAGGCCTAAAGTCATTTTTAGTGTAAGTTCTACTTACTTTAATAAGATTACTCAAAATACAACTACCATATATCTAGCCCAATAAATAAAGAACAGTAGGCAGCAGCTGAGATGGAGAGAAATTACAAAGCATGTCCTCTATGACAAGGAATTGTTAAGGAATTAAAGATATGCAGATATATGCTAAAAAGCAATGGCTTCACAAAAGAACTGGTCTGTGAAAACACAAGTGTCCTAGATGTGTTCTATTAATTAACAGCAGCAGCAGAGCATACATCAATTGAAACTCAGATAAACGCTATACTTCTGGAGAAGTTTCAGATCAACCATTTAACAATATTACCCCTCTGAAGCTGTATTATTGCAAGAAGAAACTTTTCAGATATTTATTTATTGTATCAGAAGCAAGTAGAGGGTACAGTTAGAATGTATTTAAAACACAAAGTTAAAAACTTTTTCATTATACTAAAAGTCTTTTGACCAGAAGCTGGCCACTTGGAGTGCCTCCTAAAGGTGTCGCTGTAAGAAGGTCCTCCATTGTGCATGTGGCAGGGCTCAGGCTGCATTGTAGTAAGTGGTCTGTGGTTTGGTCTTCTCTATACTCACATGTCATGGACTCCAATTTGTGGCCCCATTTCTTAAAGTTGGCTCTGCATCTCGTGGTGCCAGAGCGCAGTCTGTTCAGCGCCTTCCAAGTCGCCCAGTCTTCTGTGTTCCCAGAGGAGAGTCTCTCATCCGGTATCAGCCACAGATTGAGGTTCTGGGTAACTTTTCTGCTGAACTATGGAATAAACGACGAGACTGAAATATCTTCCCACTGGCTTCTGAATGTTGCCATTTCTGATATCAGATTTGTGTCCATTCTTTTGTTTAGAAACAGATTTATTCTGTGCAGGGCACAAGCGGGATCTATACTGCCATATAATTCAATTTGAACTTGCAAAATATGGTCAATGTAGATCCGTATAATGTAGTTCAATGCAGGACAATTGCATTATGTAGATCTACACATTGTGTGGATCCAGCCACTGCTGAAGGTCATAAAATGTGTCATGTTGGAAGAAAATCAAGTAAATTATCACCCTTGATGTTGTTTATCCTGTAACAATATTGTCTGAGTAGATATGGAGTTGAAACCATAAACAGCCTTTTTAGTCAGTAAACAAACTTTTTTTCATGAATTTATTAGAATTTGGAAGAGTTGGAAGAGACCTCATGGGCCATCCAGTCCAACCCCCTGCCAAGAAGCAGGAAGATTGCATTCAAAGCCCTCCCAACAGATGGCCATCCAGCCTCTGTTTAAAAGCCTTCACCATACTCTGGGACAGAGAGTTCCACTGCTGAACGGCTCTCACAGTAAGGAAGTTCTTCATGTTCACATTGAATTTCCTTTCTTGTAGTTTGAAGCCATTGTTCTGCGTCCTAGTCTCCAGGGAAGCAGAAAACAAGCTTGCTCCCTCCTCCCTATGACTTCTCCTTTCATATTTATATGTGGCTATCATGTCTCCTCTTAGCCTTCTCTTCTTCAGGCTAAACATGCCCAGCTCTTCTTTCCCATCCCCAAAATACATTATTGAAGTATTCTTATTTTTTCTCTGAAGCACTTCAAGACTTTGGTTGGAACTCTTCATTTATGAGATTACTAATTGTTACAAAAGTTACAAGATCAAAAATCCTGTAACTTTTGAGAATCAAGTTTATTGTCATTAATGACTGGAGGCAACTCTGCAAAGAAAAGAAAAGCACCATTTCTCTATGAATAAAAACTGAAGAGTTTCCAAGCCTCTGGAAATCTGTTGCTCCAGTAACTAGGGGTCCTTCTATACCAGGGATCCTCAAACTAAAGTCTGAGGGCCAGATACGGCCCTCCAAGGTCATTTACCCGTCCCTTGCTCAGGGTCAACCTAAGTCTGAAACGACTTGAAAGCACATAACAACAATCCTAACTCATCAGCGAAAAGCATGCCCACACTTCCCATTGAAATACGAATAAGTTTATATTGGTTAAAATTGTTCTTCATTTTAATTATTGTATTGTTTTTATGTGTTTTTGCACTACAAATAAGATATGTGCAGTGTGCGTAGGAATTCATTCTCTCTCTATATATATGTATATATATTTGTTGTTCATTCGTTCAGTCGTCTCCGACTCTTCGTGACCTCATGGACCAGCCCACGCCAGAGCTCCCTGTCGGCCGTCACCACCCCCAGCTCCTTCAAGGTCAGTCCAGTCACTTCAAGGATGCCATCCATCCATCTTGCCCTTGGTCGGCCCCTCTTCCTTTTGCCTTCCACTTTCCCCAGCATAATTGTCTTCTCTAGGCTTTGCTGTCTCCTCATGATGTGGCCAAAGTACTGCAACTTTGTCTCTAGTATTATATATATATATAAAATCCTGCCCTCCAACACTTTGAGGGACTGTGACCTGGCCCTCTGCTAAAAAAGGTTGAGGACCCCTGATCTACACTACAGACTCAATACAGTGTGATAACACATTAAATGCCAGGGCTCAATGCTATGGAATCCTGGGAGTTGTAGTTTAACAAGCCCTCTCTACCAAGATACAACTACCAGGAGTCCATAGAATTAAGACATGGCACTTAACGTGGTGCCAAATGACATTAATCCTACAATTAATCCTGCATTAAACGCCCTAAATCCCATTGGGGAAAGAGGGTGGTATATAAAGTTGTTACAACGTAGTGCACCTTTCCATTGAAAATAAAAAACCCATCAGCAGCCGCGCATGCGCCGTCCTCTCCCTTTCTTTGGAATCCAGCCCGGCAGGTATTTCTCTCCCTGCTGTCTAACAACATCTCCTCCTTCCCTGTCCCAATGGCGCAGGCGCAGTCTGGATCCTGCCTTCCCTAGCAGGTGCCTTTCTTTTTTCTCTCCCTCTAAGAAGCAACAGGTGCGCATGCGCCTCCGGGGCTCGCAGGTGTGCAGGGGCTTTCCCCTCCTTGTGGTGGATCCGCGGGGCGGCTCCGCGTCCGCGCATGCGCGCTGCTTCCTCCTCCTCCTCCTCCTCCCCTCCTCCTCCTCCTTGGAGCTGCAGGTGCCAGGAGGCGGCGGCTAGAGCTGCTGCTGCTGCGGCGCTGCTCTCGGGCGGACCTTTCCCTTCCTCGGGATCGGCGAAGAAGGAGCCCCAGCTTCCAGTCCGAGCGACCCTCGGGCGGCATGAACCGGGTCCAGCGGGGAGGAGGCGGAGGAAGCCGCGGCCTCGGCCCCATGGAAGTCAAGAGCAAGGTGCGTTTCGCCTCCCCCTTGCACCGATTGGGCGGGTTCAGTGGCTAAAGCGGGATTCGCGTCCACACTAGCGGGTGGCGCGCTCTAAGGAAGGGTTGGAGACAGCCAGGGCCTTGTTTGTCCCCCTCGGTTGTCAGGGAAGCCGGTTGCTGTGTTTGGAAGGGGGCTTGTGTCGAATCTGGGGGGTTGGAGGGTGCTTTTGTTCTCCTCTTCCTTAAGTGCACAAGAGTGCCCCTGAGCATACGCAGAGAGCCTTCCACGCTGCGTCAGGACATCACTGAGGTTGTGCATAGGGCACTCTGGAGTTGTCCTGATTGGGAAGTGGTTTTGTCGAATCTGGGAACGGTTCTTCTGCTTCTTCAGTAGGTAAGAGTGCATCTGGGCATGTGCAGAGGGTATTCACTCTGGGGACTCTGGAGTTACCCTGATTGGGAAGTGGTTTTGTCGAATCTGGGAACGGTTCTTCTGCTATTTGAGTAGGCAAGAGTGCTTCTGGGCATGTGCAGAGGGCACTCACTCTGGGGACTCTGGAGTTGCCCTGATTGGGAAGTTGTTTCTTGAGTAGGCAGGAGTTGCCCAGATTGGGAAGTGGTTTTGTCGAATCTGAGAATGGTTCCCCTTCATCTTCAGTAGGAAGGAGTGTTTCTGGGCATATGCAGAGGGCACTCAACTCTGGGGACCCTGGAGTTGCCCTGATTGGGAAGTGGTTTAGTCGAATCTGGGGATTTCTTGAGGCCACAAGAGTGCTTCTGGGCATGTGCAGAGGGCATTTACTCTGGGTAGCCATGGTCACTCGTTAACACCACACTTTTTCATTGTGCACAGGACACTCAGGAATTCTGAGTCCACCTACAACTCACAGCCACACTTACAATCCCAATACCTATTGTCCTAGAAATAATAACAATAATAATAGAAGTAAATATGGGTTAAACTAGGAATGGGCAAACTTGGGCCTTTCGGGTGTTATGGACTCCAACTCCCACCCTTCCTAACAGCCTCAGGCCCTTTCCTTTTCCCCCTCAGCCGCTAAGCGGCTGAGGGGGAAAAGGAAAAAAAAAAAAAAAAAGTAGGGAGGGGGGAGGGGACTGAGTATGATCAGAAACCAAAGACAAAAGAAAAGGGGGAAAAAAAGGGGGGAGGGGAAAAAAAACAAGGCTGAGAGTCTGATGCTTAGTTTAGGAAGGGGTGGGACAGGGGTTGTGGGGTGAGTGCGAGGACTCAGGAGTTTGGAATGTATGGGAGTTGGAGTGCCATAACACCCGAAAGCTGATAATGGCCCAAGTTTGCCCACACCCAGTCTACATGCTGGGAGTGTCTTTTTTTCTTTTTTTTAGTTTTTTCTTTTCTCCTCTTATGCCTGGGTTAAACCTATGATGAGGAGTAAATACATTACTATATATCTTCTGAGGGCCTAAATACCTTAAAAGTACCAAACTCTGGTCTCATCTTGGAAGCTAAGCAGGGTCAGTCCTGGTTATTCCTTGGATGGGAGACTGCCAATGAACTCTTATTTCAGAGGAAGAAAGTGGTAAAAAGAGCTCTGACTATTCTTTGCCTTTGAAAACCCTATGAAATCCAATGGGTCGTCATAAGTCTGGTCTTAGAGCACGCATGGGTAAACTTGGGCCCTCCGGGTGTTTTGGTGTCTCCTAACGGAAGTCCCCAGTGGCACAGTGGCTTAAACACTTGTGCCGACAGGACTGAAGACCGACAGGTCGGAGGTTCGAATCTGGGGAGAGCGCAGATGAGCTCCCTCTGTCAGTTCCAGCTCCCCATGCAGGGACATGAGAGAAGCCTCCCAAAAGGATGGTAAAACATCAAAACATCTGGGCATCCCCTGGGCAACATCCTTGGAGATGGTCAATTCTCTCACACCAGAAGCGATTTGCAGTCTCTCAAGTCGCTCCTGACATGGGAAAAAAAGTCCCTAACAGTTAGGAATTGTGGGAGTTGAAGTCCAAAATACCGGGAGTGCTCAAGTTTGCCCATGTCATCCTTAGATGCTAATCAGGGACAGCCATAGTTAGCACTTGGATGGGAGACTGCCAGGTGCTGTAGGCTATATTTCAGATTGAGGAACTGGGCCAAAACCATCTCTGAGTTTGCCTAAGAAAGCCCTATTGAAATGCATGGGGTCTCCGTAAGTGGACAGATGACCCAAAGGCATATACACACCCACATCTATCTATCTATTTATCTATCTATCTAATAGGTGAACAGATAACCTGAAGGCACATACACGCCCACATCTATCTCTCTCTTTTCTGCTTTCTGGGTGAGGTGAGGTGAGAGATCGAGCCAAGTATCCCTAGAATCACTTCCTCCTATCAACAACACTTCTGCTGATGGCCTTATTTTTCTTTTCTGTCTCTAATAGCATGTTCAGTGACATTTGTTTTATGACAGAAGGAACATGAGCTTGAAGGCGAGGTAGTAATTTTCTTCTGGAATAACATTGGGCAACAAGGGAGAATTGGATGAGTGTTGTGGGGTGGGCGGAACAGACATATTATGGAGAATCACTAGCACAGTGGTGCTCAACCTTCCTAATGCTGTGACCCCTTAATAGAGTTCCTCATGTTGTGGTGACCCCAACCATAACATTATTTTATTGCTACTTCATAACTGTAATTTTGCTACTGTTATGAATCGTAATGTAAATATCTGATATGCAGGATGTATTTTCATTCACTGGACCAAATTTGGCACAAATACCCAATATGCCCAAATTTGAATACTGGTGGGGTTGGGGGATTGATTTTGTCATTTGGGAGTTGTAGTTGCTGGGATTTATAGTTAACCTACAATCAAAGAGCATTCTGAACTCCACCAATGATGGAACTGAACCAAACTTGGTACACAGAACTCCCATGACCAACAGAAAATACTGGAAGTTTTAGGTGGGCATTGACCTTGAGTTTTGGAGTTGTAGTTCACCTACATCCAGAGAGCACTATGGACTCAAATGATAATGGATCTGGAGCAGACTTGGCATGAATACTCAATATGCCCAAATCTGAACACTGGTGATGTTTGGGGGGAAATAGACCTTGACATTTGGGAATTGTAGTTGCTGGGATTTATAGTTCACCTACAATCGAAGAGCATTCTGAACCCCACCAACGATAGATTTGGGCCAAACCGCCCACACAGAACCCCCATGACCAACAGAAAATACAATGTTTTCTGATGCTCTTTGGCGACCCCTCTGACATCCCCTGAAGATCCCCCCCGGGGGGGTCTTGACCCCCAGATTGAGAAATGCTGCACTAGCAGAAGATGATTTAATGCCCACAGTTTGGCTGCGAAAAATACAATTGTGCTTATTGGTAGCAGTTATGGTCAGCAAAACATTATGAGTCCCGTCTTTTGTACTAATGCTAATTGTGATGTGATGGATAACAGAGAGTGCATCTACACTGTAGAATTGATTCAGTTTGTCAACACTTTTCCTGTTGGATCTCAATGCTTTGTGATGTGTAGTTCTACATGGTGTTAGGCTTCTCTGCCAAATAATACTTGCGCCTCACCAAACTACAACTCTCAGGATTCCATAGCACCAAACCATGGCAGTTCAAGTGGTATCTTCAACTGAATCAATTCGACTGTTGAAATACACCCAGATTTAGGGGATAGTAGTTATTCAATGATTAGCATGAATTAATAGGGTGTGAATATATGTGGGCATTATCTGCTTGTCATCATTGTTATTGCCTTTGCCACATTTCCGCTGTTATGCCTTATGTTAATATGCTTTTATTGACGTACAAAGATTCAGTATAACCTGCTGGGGATTTATGTTTATGCTAGTGTTTGGCAAAGGTGGCCATAACTATTTAGGAAATTTTGGTCTGGGTTGCTGTGAGTTTTCCGGGCTGTATGGCTATGATCCAGAAGCATTCTCTCCTGACATTTCACCCACATCTATGGCAGGCATCCTCATAGGTTGTGAGGTCTGTTGGAAACTAAGCAAATGAGGTATATATATCTGTGGAATGTCCAGGGCAGGAGAAAGAATTATTGTCTTCTTGAGGCAAGTGTGAATGTTGCAATTGGCCATCTTGATTAGCATTGAATGGCCTTGCAGCTTTAAAGCCTGGCTGGTTGCTGCCTGGGGGATCCTTTGTTGGGAGGCATTATAGTTTTAGGGTGCATCTACAGTGCAAATAATCCAGTTTGACACAACATTGACTGCCTTGGCTCAATGCTATGGAAGCATGGGATTTGTAGTTTCACATGGCCATTAGCCTTTCCTTCCAAACTACAACTTGCAGGATTCCATAGCATTGGTCTTTGGCAGGTAAAGTTCTGTCAGATTGCATTAATTCTACAGTATAGATGCTCTCTCAGACTACAGTATTCTCTCAGACTACAGACTACACTATTCTACAGTATAGATGCTTTATATGAAGTTATCTTGTTTATTGGGGAAGGAATGACTGTTCAGATCAATTTCCAGGCACAACTTGAGTGCAGTTCCCTCCGTAAACATTAAAAGAAGCCCTGCAGCATGAAACACAGTTGTTACTTGATGCAGTATTTTATCTGCATGGGTGGAAAAAGAAGCACAACAGTATTCCAAAGCTCCTATCAAACACAGCACTTTTCTTTGTGCGTTTTCAACCTATTGGCAGGTCACAGCCAATTGTTAAGCACTTGCTGCAAATCTCTTTTGGAGAAAGGGGTGCAGGAGATGCCATTTTGAGCCAATGAAACAGTCTTTTGTTTCCTTTAGCCCCTGAATTGTTCAGCCATGTTAATTCAGCTGTAGCAGTGGCACCGACTTAAGGGCTTCCCAAATTGTGCATACCTTCATGCTAAAAGGAGAGCATAGGTGGGTAATAAAGAGACGTTGACGGGAAGGAACTTCGAGAAATCAGGCTGCAATGTGGAATAAAAATCACCATAGTGGAGTTGCTTTTGCGTGAAATGCTTGCCCTGGGGTGGTTTTTAGAACCTCTTTGTACCAGCGAACACACCCAAGTGTACTTCTTTTG